GAAGTTACATGAGTGTGAGCTTCAAGCTGAACTTGGATTCTCAGTCAGTTAAACTGTCACATACATCTGACCAAAATGAAGTATTGTTCACTTCAACATAATCTCCCTCCTCCACCTCAGCGCCCGGCGGGACCTGGCAAATCTGAATGAAGCCGTTGTCACCCAAAAAGGGTTTGACTACTGCATTGCTGAAATATGGTGTAATTTCTTTTATTAAACAATAGTTAATCAATTCAATCCAATTTTCTCTCAAAATTGCAAGGATTGTATCAGGGAACTCTGGGGGAAATTTGATTGAGTCAATGCATTCCGATCCACGCTCCAAATGCTGACTTTTCAGAAATCCTTCACAACTGTTTGCCAACCCGCAAAGAGCACTGTGAGCAGACTTAAAGGCTATTTGTACGTCTCTGTCATCTTTAAACTTTTTGATATGAGGGATTATGGCCCTATTTTTTTGTTTTAATTTTTTTATGTCCAGTGTAAAGTGGATTTTCTGGTCAACATATGGATAAAGAGCACTGCTGGTACTTGAGATGTCAGAATACGAGAACTCTTTAAAGATATCTGATCCCCTTAGTCCCCAAGGCTCTGAGAAGTACACTACAGTCACAATGCCAAATTTCCTGTACCATTGATAGGCATTCTGATAAAGTTGAGTCATACAGTTACAATATTTATTTCCTCTCTTTAAACATGGACTATAATAGGTATATATAAAAATGTTTAGAACTTTGGCTCCATATTTCTTCAATAATCTATTGATTACTTCCAATAACATTTCCTCACTGTGTTTGGTCAATTTGGTGGAGGAGGCTGAATTGTTACGATGAACTGGATAAACAAGTTTAGTCTTAATTCTTTCACCATTTTTCATTAAAACTCCAGCATATGCATATTGATTATGGTGGTCCTTAAGACGGTGTTTTAAGAAAGATGTAGAAGTAGAAGGTCTACCGTCCAACGCTGCATCAACACTGAATCCAGGTTGTATCTTTGAAAACAATGTCATGAATTTTGTAAAAAGCTTTTTGTCAGGAACATTTGTTTGTTGCTCAATATTATCCATGTAATGCTTAATATATGCTAGTGTAAAGGAAATCTGTCTCCTATTTAAAATGCTGAAGTTAAAGAGGCTGTCATTTGGTATAAGATTTGCAGCCAACACATTTAGTAAATATATACTATATAGTTGAATTGGACTTGGACTGATATTTGCTGTTGTTGTTGTCATTGAATTAGAATCAATGGCAGAGTGATGATCTTCCTGATGCTGGTCTTCTTCCCTGGAAAACAAAAATATAAAGGTTTTACTTTATTCACAGGACAAAACAATATGCTTAAGGTTGTTATTTAACTGCTTAGCACAACAATGCTGCATGTACTGAATTCATAAAGTGTATTGTCAAAAGCTAACAGATTGTCAATGGCTGATTTAACTTTGTTAAGTGTGCTAAAGGGCGATGTGTTGGATTGAAGATCTCTTCTTGTTGTGAATAGAAACAAACTATATATATATATAATGCTATATACTGGAGTTCAGTACAATTACACAGCTAGGAGAAAAAAACTAAATGATCAGTTGCGTAAGTTTACTTATGCATGTTTATATTTTGCATTGAGATCTGAAGAAGGTTTAGACAAAGATAAATAAAAACAAGCTGTTAAATATCAAGTTGTGGTGACGTGTTAAGTCTCTTCCTGTAACTTGAATGCAGAGTGATCAATGTTAGAGAAAAATAAATATTGAAGTTGGCTATGATCGACTCATTCGACCCACTGAAAGCTGTATTTTTACATTTACTTGACTCAGTTCCATGGGACCCAATACCTAGTAACTACTACTTAACTAGTTTCAGTTAATACAGCATTTTATTTCTTAGACGATACCTTTGGAGTGAGGAGGGTTCTTGCTCGGTGGAAGTGGATGAAGACATCTCTTCACTCTCAGGCACTTGTGGATCTTCTTGTCTGCTTCTGTCCGTCTGAGTGGAGAAAACAAAATGTTACCATCTTCTGATGTTAAAGTCTTTATTGTCATTAGTGGAAAACACGTCTGTTAGGAACGGCTGAATGCTTTGCCTGTGGTATTGCTGCATGCACATTTGAGGTAGTGCTTCATTTTCTAAAGCTTCTTTTTCCATCCTGCATTTTAGTTTCAGTTAAACAAAGACCAACCTACAGTATGCAGGCGCAACAGTCTCGCACAACACTGTGCTTTTGTTTGAGCCCTGTATGTCAACAAGTAAAGCTGAGCAATACTGTTCAAATTTAAATTGTTCTGTAAAAGTTTTTTTTTTAAGTTTTGTTTCTGGAATGAAATCAAATAAAAAGAGATGTGTCTTACTTGTCCAGTATATTAATACAATGCTGTTTTCATTTTTCACATGGCATGGAAAACGGAAATTATCTTCTTTTCAAATGTTTCCGCAAAGTTTGATAATAATAATAATAATAATAAATAATACATTTGATTTATAAAGCTCCTTTCATTGCTCACAGCAATCCCAAGGTGCTATAAGCAGTTACAGGAAAAGCATTTGATGGCAATGAAATGCTTAGATGTGTAGCTCTTCATCAGTGCTCAAACAAATATGTATAAAAGTAGATAACGTAAGTAAACATTTGAATTTAAGACATAAAATAGTGCACAGGCTTAAGTAAATAAAAAATAAATGTGCTAAACAGATGTACAGTAATTTCAGTATATATATATATACAAATAAAAATAATGTAGAGTACCTGTAGGGTGAGGAGTTCTAAACTCCTCTGGAGAAACAAAGAGACAGAACAGTTAGGTGGTAACAAATGTAAAAGTTAAAGTTTGTATGACTTTTTACGTTTTATTAGTTTTATGCTTATCATAAAAGAACGTTATAGTTTTTCAAAGTTCTAAACCTAACCCTAACATCTTTGTAAACACTCTGTTTACAAATAAAACACAGGAGATGTAGATAACACGGAAAATGTATTGAACATGTTCTGACTCACCAGAGTTGGGTCCAAGACCCGCATAGGCAGGGGCTGACAGTTGTCGTGACCAACACAAAGATTCCACAGATACAAGTTGTTGTAATGTAATTTAGTTAAATCAAACTGGTTTAATGAAAGTAACACAATCTGCCAGCCCCTTCCTTCAATAGATTAAAAAATGTGCCCTTATCTTCTTCTTTCTGAACGAAGAACTACTTTCCATTTGTTTTCAAAGAAACTGTATGCTGCTTATAAACCCTCCCTTAGCCAATCGTTGTGGCCAATCTTTGGTCGCCATGCCCAGTTTGCTTACGTATGCAGAGGTGTGGGAGCCGGATGTTTCTTATAGGTTTCACTTTTGTTTTTCTTCAAAAGGTGTGTAAAATGAAACTTTCCTGAATCCCAAGGGTCAAAGGCAAAGCAGACAATCGACATACACTTAGTTTATTTATTTATGTAACTGTATTTCTCTTTCAAAGCACTCACTTTGTATACTAACTTCCTGCCAGTAACTGATACAACTTAAAAAAAGTACTTAATATGCAGATTGGACCATTTCAGAGTAATATGTATGATATATTTTTATTATAATAACCCTTATCAACGCTGGTAAAGGTGCAGCTAGTTTTAATGACTTTGTATGCTGCAGGAAAGCTGGATTTACTCCAGGTCTGATTTAAGAGTTGATTATATTTCACATTATTTATCCAAATCTGTCAAGTAACTAAAGGTTTTACATAAATGTAGTGGAGTAAAAGTACAAGATTTACCTCTGAATTGTACAAAGTAGCTAAAAATGGAAATAATCAAGTAAAGTACAAGTACTTCACAATTGTACTTAAGTTCAGTACTTGAGTAAATGTACTTAGGTACTTTCCACCACTGACTGTTTTTACAACCAAGTCCAATTCAATTATATTCAAAATGTGTTACCTGTTGGGAAAATACTGAATGTACTCTTCTAACCTGTTTTAGACATACAGTATGATGCTATGTGTATTGCTTACGTGGTCCTTAGCTAATCTGAACTAAACATTGAATACTGCTTTGAACCGGTATTCTGCATCTTGT